GTCCGCCTTTTTGCAATCGGGCTCCTCTGTCGCCACCATTTTGTGAGCATGCTCTAGTGTGGCCGGCATTACACGAGTGAGTGCGGGCTCGCGTTCCTCCGCGATACCCACAGTGAACGCTGAACCAACAGATAGAGCATAGTCCATAAAATCACTTAGAGACGAACGAGGACCCTCATGAATCACTCGTGATTTTACAGGCTGGTTAAGGCCATCACAGAAGAAGTCAATTAACATGCAGTCCAGTAATTCTGAGCCATTAGCCAAAGCCAAATATTCTGCAATGTAACCCTCAAGTGATCGTGTGCCCTGCTTGAGAGCTAGTAGCAGAATCGCTGTGTTCATACCTGGCCAATGTCCTTCGGAAAAGCCGCTGGATCCTTGTGTGGCCGAGTATTCTGTCACGGAGTGACTGAGACTTGAAGTTCATAGACCGGATTCGTGACACAGGATAAATGTTTGATATTATTTAATCACATTGGAATTGAAACTGGGAATCGAAAAGAATTGGAATCGATAAGCAGAATCGGCGATACCCAATCCTAATCTTAACTGCTTACCATGTTACAATTCAGTCATATAATGCACGCAGATGTATATTCTACGGATTGGCTGCTTGTGAGTCAATTCTAGGGGGAATTCACTAAAAATGAGTTGTGCCTCTTAATATCATCATTGGTTTGCATTTCTTGTCTGTAATGTTTTCACACCCTTTTCACTAAAGGAATTATTCAACTCAGATAACCGTAACAGCATAAAAATGCCTAAGAAATTAGTACTGGGTGCTGTTTGCATAGTGCAATTCCCCATTTGCTATACTGTGGATGATGCATCAGACTACCACTGACATAGTATGCTGGATCTATACAGTATTGCTACACTGCAATCCAGACGCCTAACGCATGTCTGGATATACGCTGATTATAGAGATCTTCTCCATATTTTTCTTAATTACTGCTGCCATGATCACAAGAAAATGTACACAAATGCCTCTTCTAAATAAAACTTGAGTTTATAAGTACAATGTTAATTATGCAAGGCAAATAGCATGCATTTTATAATAAGCCTCATTTGCATAGAAAGCATGAATGTTTGCTCTGAAAAGAGTAATTGGTTAATTTACATTTACAGATTTACTTTCTATGCTGGATTGTGGGTGTTTCATAAATAAGACACAAGGTTTTGCACCAATATGACCCCAATGTTTAGCAAATTCTCTTCTGGGTCTTTTTTTTTTAATAGTAAACCTTTACAGTGGATGGTTTTTATAGTTAAAAATCAGAGGGAAGTAATGAAATCCTGTATTCTCTGTGAAGGTTATGGGAATCTTAAGTGAAACACAGGTATTCCAGGTTAGCTATAAGTGTTCAAGTTGTGTCTGTGCATGAAGGGGTCGAAACATTTGATGTGTCTTTGAGATGCCTGCAGCACCACTGAAATGTCAGGTCTCTCACTCATTATCCAGTTCAGTCATGGTTATTAGGCAAGCATGGCTAGCTCACAACATGCCTGGTACCTCTACTAAAAAGTGCACACTCAGGTCACACTTACACACAAAGATGATTAACTCAGAAGTGTGAAAAATACCAAATTTCTGTTTACTCTCAGACCTGACAGGTCAGGGAAAAAAAGCTACATAGAGTTTGCTCTATGTAGTGATGTGTAAAGATAAATTGAAAACCAGCAAACAGATTCCACTGCATTGCTGTCACTGGGTGCGACTTGTCAAAAAAGAACTGTCTAGACTGTCAGGGCAATGGAGCAAAATCTGAATTGTTGAAAAAAGCACTCATATAGTGACTTTTTATTTATTTATTTATTTAGGGGTGTCTCTTTATAAGCAAAGTGTATTGATAATGCACTCTATAATACCATTAAAGGTTTTAATGTTTTATGCTTAACAAGGCTGCATTTATTTGATAAAAAATACAGTAATATTGTGAAATTTTAAAAACTGCAATACTCTTCAGGATTCTTTGATGAATAGAAAGTTATAAAAAACAACATTTATTTTAAGGTTTTTTTAGCATTGTAAAAATATATACTGTCACTTTTGATTAGATTAAAACTATTAATTTCACTTTTCAATGATTGTGTGTTTGCGTAAATATATATATAAATCCTGAAAATTTTATATGGGCACCATGATAATCAGCATCATAATAATAATACTTGTCAAACAAAAGTGGCTCTAGCTGGATTTGGACTTATGAAAATAATCAAATATACTGCATAAATGTAAAAGCAAACAGTCTCTTTGATTGTGTTTTCAATTTGATTTAGAAATAAAGTGTTTTTTATTTTATTTATTTATTCTTCATTGTACAGGGATATGTTGGACTTGGATATTTTGAGAGCATTGATGATATGTGTAAAAGTATGGGCATTAATAGCAGGCATGAATAAAAACATAAATTAACATAACACCCCACTTTTCCTGCCCATCACTCTCTTCTCTTTGAGAGGATCAATGATATGTGGAAGAGGATGAGGTAATGTGTAGGAGAGGGCAGAGAATGTAAAGAGAGGATGTGCTAATACATCCCACTTCCTCTTATCTCTCCTCCTTCCTTTTTATGCTTTTTGTATCCCAGGGTTTCCAGTCACTTTAATTATGTGATGGTGGACAAATAGTGGCATGGGAATAATAAGTCAATTTGTGAAGCATCACAATGAATAAATAATGAAAGCAAAAGAAAAAAACTGAGCGATGCTTGATTAGTTTCACAAGGTTTTGCATTTTCATTTCTTAATCTTTTCTGCAAGTTAGTGGACTTACATGAACCTCTGATCTGTTGGATAATCTATTATATCTATATTACCAGAGATACTATAAAGGGGAGGAGAAGGACCACCCATGGAAATATGAATGTGTAAAATCAATATGATGGGTGTAGGATAAAATAATAAATAAAAAATAAAGTAATAAAAATGATAAAACCACATGACAAAATTACTGAAACTTAAAGTAAAACTGCAATGAAAACTGAAAACATAAACACTAATTCAACATATTAATAAATATAATAGCAATTATATATTATAATGGTTATAATAAATAATATAGTGTTCGATAGAGTTTATTTACTCTAGCCTTGAAAAAATAAAAAAATAAAAATAAGAAATATATATATAGCCATCATCAAACCTAAATTCATGTCAACTTTTTGTCAGATTTTATTCCTGATTTAGAATAATACTACATTATTTCAAACACAATCTTGACTGATATTTTTAGGAGAGTTTGGTCCTTATCCTTTCAAAGCTGTACGCCTATATAGCTGCCTGGGGATGTGATAAGGAGTATGATATTACTTTGGGTAGCCATGATGACTCTACCATGTTAATTTCACCTGCAAGGTTAACAATGCGCTTTGAGTCTGAGCTTGTAAAGCTCACGATTGTTTTATTACTAGGCACACTCACAGTCATGTAGCTGACACATTGATTATACTCCAGTGTGTTCAGCGTGAAGTTTGTGGCAGCTCTTGTAGAGTGTGTTGTGTCTGAGTATAATCTGATTGATTGCCTATTAACAGTTGTGAAGACAAGCGTGATTTGCTCTTTCATATGAGAAATGACAGCCGCTATTTTTCACACTTAATAGTGTCCATTTAGGTTTTAACACTTGTCCTGTGCCATCCATCCCCACAAAATATATGAATAAATAAATACCAGCATCTATTACTCGCCTCTTTTCAACAATTCAGTTTCATGACTCCCTAACAGTTACATAGGGGTTTTTGAGTCATTCTGTGTCAACTCATATATACTTAAATATACTTCCATGATCTTTCTTCAGAAAAAAATATCGTCAAAATCAAAAATTTGAGCCAAGGAACTTGAAAATTAGAATTAGTTGATTTGACACTGAATGACCCATTTTGGAAAATTAAGCTCCCACTAGAGCATCCATGTTTTATCCTCTTATTCGAGGCCACCTCTATTACGGCAACAAATATTTAGTGATGTGCTGCATTCATTGTCATTGTTTCTCTGTAGATGCATCTCATATGTGCTACATACTTGTTTTTGAATAGCAGCGAATGTTTTGTTTATGTCTCTTCTTGTTTTCTCCTGCTTGTTTGTTTCATCCCAACAGAGCGCAAGGAGGTGTACAAAAGACAAGTGATGTCTATCACATGTATTGCCATGGGGATCAGCTTTCTAGGCACCCTCTGCATGGCTCTCTACTGTCGGAACAAGTAAGTGGACCTCAGAATTAATCAAAGCTTGAGCTGTTCCCCAGAGCATATCATTTGAAAGAAGGGCACTATATAACAAGATAGAGGA